GGCCTGGCCTCTCACAGATGGGCTAAATAGGTGGTCTCAGCCCAGTGGAGGTGGAAATGAATCTGGCCTCTGGTCCTGATCCGTTCTGCTCGCTCCCACTCTCCACACACTCTGTTTGACGTGACAGGTGAGACCGTGTGTGTGTGTGTGTGTGTTTAATGATCAATCGCAGCAGGATTTTGTTGAAGCCAATTACTTTAAATTCTTTCTCCTCGGCTGATCCTGGCGCTGTGGAAGCAGCAGAGTCAGCGGAAGCCTCAGCGTCTGGCAGAGTTCCAGGCTCTTCATCACTGTCCATCAGGACAACGTGACTTATGGAGAACAGCAGAGGCTGTGGCAGACTGGACTGATGGGACCGCTGTCTCACAAAACAAAATTAAAAATGATAGATTTATTTCTACTTTAATGCCAATCACTAGGGCTAAAGTAAGGACCATAGAAGTATTGAGTCAGACGGTATTGTGCCATGCAACTACAGCCATTTAATCAACGTAGTAAATATATACTTATACATATATAGTTTTCAATATAGGTAGATCACTTTACCCTGGTCATTTGAAAAGCAGCTCCAAGCCAAAAAAGTGTGGACACCCCTGTTTTACAGTGTCTTCTACTGTCTCTGCTACACAGCAATGATCCTCCACAGGTTCTTAGTTTTCAACTTTGATTAGAAAATAGTTGATGAACATCTTCTGCTTATGATTGATGTTGATACAGTAACAGCAGCAGGTACCACCAGTCATCATCATCATCATCATCACCTTCATCCTCCTGGTCATTGTTGTGCTGCAGCTCCACCTCAGCACCACCTGCTCCTGTGTCTCCTCTGTGAACAGCTTCCTCCCTGGTCGCTGACAGAGAAATCTCCCTGTGGGAAAAGAGAGAAGTGAATTGGTGTCTGCCTTTCCCCCCAGGTACATCCTTCATCCCTTCTCCTACTCCTCCTCCCCTTCCTCCTGCACAGCAATCGGCTGCCCACTCAAGCAGCTGTCAAGGTGAGGCGCTGTAACACGGTGAGGCTCCAATGCCCTTGTCCAATTTCACTTTGGAGGGAAGCTGGGCTGAACATGCCAATCCTGATATTACCAAACAAATTAAATCACACGATGGGCCGCAGAGGAGAAGGGGAGAGGACTGAGGAGTGAGGATGCTCTGATGGATGGAGGAGGAGGAGGAGGAGGAGGAGGAGGAGCACACTTGTTTACTACAGGAGGTTGACAAGCTCCGTGCTGAGGCGGAGCAGGTGAACCAGAGAGGAGAATCAATAACTGACCTCTGCTGTGATGTAGGTGTGATGATGTGATGAAGGTGGAGGAGGTGGAGGAGAAGATCCTTCACAGTCTCTGCTCCGTCTCCACCAAGTGTAGCCTCCAAACTAAACTCATCTCAAAGAGTGTCTTCTCCCAGAATAGCTGCTGTTCCTGACACGCTGGACTGGTGGCGCCGTTCTCTGCCTCTGTGACAAACACAGTTCACACTGGCAGCAGGAGCAGCTGCTCATCTGTTATTCACACAGGGAACATGAGCCACGGTCTGAGCCACGGTCTGTGTGAAGGAGGAGTGAATATTACAACAATGATACAGAAATAAGACAGAGTTCAGCCAATAAAAAAGGTCCACAGACTACATGGTGGAGGAGAAGTTAGGAATTTTGCCTTAGAGCAAGGAGGTCACTGGTTCAAGTCCTTGTTATTGGGTAGCATGTTCTTGCCAGGGTTGAGTGTGGGTTAACTGGTCATTAATGAGAAAACAATAGGTGTGAATGACTGTTCCTAAATGTGCCCCATATAGTCCATATATACAGTATACACACACATTCATATATATGGTTATATAGATAGATGTTCATATATACATATATGTATGTTACATATATTTATATTGAAGAAAGGAGGAAGGGGGTTTGAACTTCTCTCCTCTGGAGAAATAGAAGTTTCTGAACCACATTTCATTTCATCAGGATCCGACCCACAGTCGCTCTGGCTCTTAAATGTCACCACTGACACCCTGCTGCAGCTGGACCAGAATGTTAGTCAGATTTATTCTCAGGCAAAACCCTAATTACCTGTCAGAAGTTTTCATTTTCATTGCACACGTTTGACTGGGACACAAAGCTGCTGGACCAACGTGTGGACCAGGGCCAGGCAGCTGTGGGCCACCGTGGCACACAGAACTTTCTCTCTCTGGTTGAGGGGCAGATTCTGGCTCCAACACACTCATCATCATCTGAACCAAGTGTGTGTCCTGTCAGCCAGTGGCCATCACACGGGCACAATCCCATCATGCCCTGCTGCCAGCGTCTGCACCACCGCCCGGCCTCCCGACTCCAACTCTCACACATCTGAGGAGAAACCCGCTCTGAGCCATGACTCCAGGTCAGAGCAGGAGGCGTCTGAGGAGATGGGAGCAGCAGGGGGGAGGAGTCAGACTGTGTTTTCAATAAAAGCAGCTGCTTATTTGAAAATATCCTCCTCTACACACACACACACACACACCCGCCGTCTGAGGCCACACATATTAAAATGTAACTTCAGGCCTGGTGGCAGCAGCAGGTGGAGGAGGAGGGAGGGAGGACGGGTGGGTGAGTGGTGAATATCAGCGTTGGGGAGGAGCAGATAAGGCACATTTGGAGGAGGAAATTGGTTTGGCCAAAAGTACATTACAACACTTCATCACCAAATGACTCCTGGAGTGCAGCGGAGTGATGAGCAGCAGGGTGAGGAAGACCCAGGCAGAGTTTTCTTCAGACAGAAACAGATTTTTAGTTTCCTGTCTGTAAATATTCTATTTACCACAAACTGAAAACGCTGTACGTATTTGTGCTGGGCAAACATTCAGACTTTCAGGACAGTCATGATGTTCCCTGATGGATCAGTTTAAATTCAACTGTACAATAGTCACAGTTTGAATGTGATGTGCTGGGAACCACAGTATGTACTGCATTCAAGTGATACTTCAATATCTCAGTACTCTAGTTTTGAGAATATTTACCTATTAACTACTGTGCTCTCTCTCTCTCTTTATATATATATATGTATGTATATATACAGTATATATACTGAAGCCGAGCTCCATTTTTCCAATCATCTATGTCTCGCTCACTGTCCTTCCCTAGGTTATTTGACCCATTTTTATAACAATAATAAATGTTTTCTGAATTATTATTATTTTATATTATCAAAATATTTGTTTATATCTATGTTTTTGTTGTTTAGATAGGGGGATTTTAATTTAATTAATTAACAGTATATTACAGTATATACAGTATATATTTCTGGGAGGCTGGAACGAATTCATTCGTTTTTAGTTATTTTTAATGGGGAAAATGCAATCGAGATACGATTGTATGTATACACACATACAAGACCAGACAGTTTTTTTACTGACTGTCTGCTCCTGAATCAGATTTCAAGGTGAATTTGTTCACACATCAGTCCAAATGTGAATCAGTGAGCGTGTGGTCGTGGATGTGCTCCTTCATCTCCTTTGTCACCAATGACAACGTAAGAAAAAAAAGAGTGACTTTTCTTCTATTCCTGAACTTTTCTCTGTGTGTGCAATTAAAATTATAACAGCAGAATTCAGATGGAGAACTAATGAGCTCAGCTCCTCTGAGTGGAGACGCCATTAAATCTCCTAATGGAGCTGCTTCAATGAGGAGCAGAGCACACACACACACACACACACACAGTCATTATTTGATTAATGCCACTTGTTTACATGAAGACACAAAGAGTCCTCTCCTCCTGCTGCGACGCTCGGCCTCCTTCGCTCTGATGTGTAATTGGATTCAGGCCGTGAAGAAGAAGACGACGTGCCGTTGTCTCCTGATCCTGAATGATGAATGGAGATGAGGGAAAAGAAGTGGATTAGAGAGTTTGTCAAGTGGCTTTCACTTTCCTGTCTTTAGATCATAGACCGTTTATAAAAGACGTGCCACTTTTCTTCTCTCACAGAGTGAGTTTTTCAGAAACGTAGTACCCTGTCAGTCAAATGTTCTCACCTCGTATGTGCCTTTTAAAGCAGACCTATGAATAAAACTGTAAACATGCAGTAAAATGTTTCCTAAATAGTGTTTCATGGAAGCATCACTGAAGAAGTAAAACAATATATAAAACAATATGTAAACTTGATCATTCTCAGAGATCACAGCTGGAGACGTTCCCCAGAAAGAAAAAAAACGGGTTGAATTAGAATTAGAAATGTCTTTTTTCCTCCTGCTGCAGCTCAGAGTAACAGCAGTGATGCTGTGTCAACAGCACAGAGGGGCAGACACTGTGTGGACGCTGGGCTTCACTCAGGCCAACAGAGATATAACCTTTGTTTATGGGCCCAGGCCCAGCCTCTGACAGGGCTTATAAGTCAAGCTGGGCCGGCCCACTTGGAGGTGGGCTGGCGGGCATTAATCAAGCTCCGGGGGAGTAGAGGCATAGTCCTGAGCATCGGCAGTCACATGACCCACCTCCACGGGAGACGCTGTAACCAGCGGGTGGAGATAGACCACAAGGTTATTGAAGCTCCAGAAGATAAAGGATCTGGAACTGTTGCTGTGAAAAGTTCCTTCGTCCACATCTGGTCACCGAGGACCAGGAGGAGGGAGACAGGAGAAATAATGTAATAATAACCTCCTGTAATTCCATAACTTTTACTATACCAATACAGTAACATGCATAACAAACATCTGGTAATGCTAATTACAACTATACATTCACGGAATATATGTAGCCTTTTTTGGGTTTCTTGATGATACAGATAGGACATATTATTGTACAAATACAATAATTGTCATACATCTGGCAATATAACAATAACATAACAATTTAATACTTTAAAAATAGCCAGAGAACAAGCCTAGTGTTTTTCTACATGCTAATTATCAGCACAGTGGAAACTGGAAACTCATTCTTTAGATAAATTTGTTTACAGCCCCCATTGTGGGTATATGTGTGTGTTCAAAAGGATAAATGACATCATAAAGAGGAGAGGAGACGAAAAAGAAATGTGTGTTTTATAAAAAAGAGCATTTTATTCAAACAAAATGCTTATTTACAGAGCAGATCATTCACTCCTGTTGGAAACAGACATGTTCACTGGGAATGTTGTTCACATGACCGTAGTAACAGCTCATCGTGAAGAACAAAAATATAATCGGGGGTAAAAAATAATTAAAGCACATCTCAGGCAAACAATATTCTGAAAGGACAGAGAAAACAAAACGTATCAGCATTTAAATAAAAAAAATAAACTTTGTTTTAAGAAGTCTGGTTTCACGTGAAATGTCACTAGGTGGTGTTCAAGAAAGGACAACAAGACTTTTGTAAAAACGGGACTGTGACTCACGGTGCCTGGATTCCTTCCTATTGTCATTTTAATAACGGGCACTACAGAGACACTGTCCTCTCAAAAAATGAAAACAAGGCAGAGATGGTTTCCAGACAAACATGGAAGAAAAAGTTTCAACATGAGTCCAAAAATGTCCAGTAAAAAACACCCAAACCATTTCCCAGTCTCCCGCCGTCTTCTTCTGGAGCCTCAGAGCCATGGGTGCCAGGCAGGGTCCATACGGCACAGGTTGTCCAGACTGTTGGCTGCAGCCACCAGCGTGTTGACTTTACTTTCTCCTCCTTCAAACTGGGCCAGGTTGTGGAGGCGGGTCATGATGGCCGTGACAGCCTTCTGGACCAGGGAGACCAGCTGCTGGGAGTCCATGTTCTCAGGCTGACCAGCAGGGGACAGCGGCATGGACGTGTCCTCCTGGGTCTTCTTGTGCCAGGCTATGATCTCATCTCGGAGGACAGCCTTCAGGATTCCATCCACCTGGGGGACACAGATGTTTGTAATGACAAAGATCTGGAGTTCAGCAATTAGACGATGAACCCACAAACACACACACACCAGAACAACAACAACAACAACAACAACAACAACAGAGTCCTATGGTTTCAGCACTGAGTCGTTTGTGTGGTTAAATCTTTACTATATTTGACTGTGTGATTACTGTGTGATTGTTGTGTGTGTGTGTTTTGCTGTGTTCCTTAGAAACCGTCCGTTTCCTCGGACGTCTCAGCAGAGGCGCATACACGCACGCACGCACACACACAGCTGCTGTTTTTCTTTGGTTTCAGCCTCAGCTTTAACTCAGGTTCAACAAGTTTAAGAGCAAAACAACACAGAGAGAAGAAGTTAAATCAGTTTCTATGACAGGGAGTCAGAGTGGATTTTATTTTTATGTGTCTGGTTGGAGCTAAACTTAAAATCTGCCTCTGTCTTTCTAACCCGAGTTTGACTCTGTGGCAAAAATCTGTGTATAAACAGGGATCACCACAGACCCGGTCCATATGTGGCTTTCAACAGCTGCATATTCCTTGTCAGTGACTTCAAATCTCCTTCAAGTCAAGATTTAATTGGCTGACAACTCTTCTGGACCGGGTTTGTGTCCAAGTCTCACCTTGAAGTTGGGTTGTGCGAAGCATCGAGCCACGGCGATCATGGAGGCGGTGAGTGGCCCGGAGACACCGATAGTGGTCAGGAACTCAGAGATGTTCGGAGTCAGACGGAAGGGAACGGGCCGATTAGCGTCCAGGTCGCCTGTGGCGTCGTTGATATCGAAGCGGAAGTAGGAGACATTCAGTTTCCCAGTGTCCTGTAAAAAGAAAAAAGGAATTTGAGCAGACTGCAGAAGATGAGGAGTTCAGTCTGAACTCTTCTTCAGCTGTGTTCCCATCAGAGAGTTCAGGAGAATGACCTTTGACACCAGGTCACAACTTGAAATCTACTTCCTTTAAAAGTTCTTTCAGATAATATAAAAACTTTGCTACAAAATTATTTCAGTTTTGGGAACAAACAATGTCATCTGGAGAATGTGTCGACCTGACATTACAGTTTTAATGCATTAAGGGTTTTCTGATTGAAGCTCAAAGTCCGAGGTTGGTCCTGGCACAAACATCAACCGGTGCCGGTATTTAATACACAATTACACAGAGTTAGATACAAAAACCAAACTTGTGCACTGGTCCTTTAAGGGCCAGTGACTGTGAGCTGGTGTGATGAAGACTCAGAGAGAGAAGAGCCACATCAGACAGGGATCCAGAAAAGAAAAAACAGCAGTAAATATTCCTCTGCTTCTCAGTGATGCCCAGTTACAAATCCAGCTGCGTCTCATCTGAGACGTCTGCTGTTATTGATCTGCTGAGCTGCAGACACACACACACACACACACGTCAAACTATCAGCAGCTGAACATCTATAATCCTCATCCACTCCCACTCCCTTCTTTGCTGACTTTAATACACACATACACACACTGGGCAGTTTTCAGCTTTCAGCACTTATGTGCCTGAGAGGAGCAAAAGGAGGAGGTGGAGGAGGAGGTGGAGGAGGACACAGGCAGCAGCCATCCCAGTGAAGATAAGCTCTCTCATATGAAAAGGTGAGTGGCTCAGACAGCTTTATGGCTGTGCATTTCATTCCAGCCCTGTCTTCCAGCCCTCTCCCTCCCTCCCCTCCCTCCCTCTCTTCTTCATCTCTTTCTCCCTTTCTTTCTTTCTTTTCTATCATTTTCCCGCCTCCACCCCCCCCCCCCCCCCCCCCTTCCTTCCTTCATTCCTTCCCCCCTTCCTTGTGGTACGGCTGCAAACGTTCAGAATGTAAAGAGAGCACAGCAGCCGCTGATGACGACTTCATTTACGAGGCGACTGTGCCGACTGTTTCTGAAGGATCTGAAATGTCCTGGGAAAAGAAATTCAAGTGAATTAACGCTAAAGACTTATTAGCGTTCAGGAAGTGTGTCGACCCTAGAGGAGGTGTGGAGGTTGACCATAACGAGTGTCCATTTCTTCACACTAGTTACTTAAAAATATAAAGAAACATTATATTATCTATTCATTTTCAAGCTAAACTTTAGCTAATATTTTGTATTATTAAGTCGTGGTGAATGCAGGATGTGTGCGGTTTTCTTTTTTATTACATTCGGTGTCGATCGGTGTCAAAATAGCTTTGGCTCAAAAACATCGGTGTCAAAATAGCTTTGGCTCAAAAATCTCAAGAATTTTCAAGGATTTCCAAAGCTTACAGAAATAAACCGTAAGGTCTGTGTTTGTCAGGGTGAGACATCCTCCCTATTTACTGTGTGTATGTGTATGTGTGCATGTGCATGCGTGTGCGTGAGCACCAGTCTCCACACCATAATCTCCCGGTGTCTAAGGGGATCTGCGGAGTGGAACAGGCCCGAGAGCGGGGGCTTAATGCTTGCTTTTCGCTGCCCAGAGGAAGGCCTGTCAGCAGAGGCAGATTAGGATCAGAGAGGACGGGTTTGCCGACTGACACAATCATCTTTAATAATGACTTTAAGAGAGCTGTCCACGGACAGGAAGCTGCGGACGGATGTGTGAGGATTGAGAGGCAGAGATGAGAGAGAGCGCTGTGCTCTCAGATGCACACGCGTCGACGTGGTCTCTTCAAATTGAAACGTCTTTGATAGCTGCGCAGCAGAGGAAGAGAATATAACGTGCTGTCAAAACATCCTTGGCTCTGACAGCCGGCGGCTGACTGATAGGCTCAGTCTGAAAGTCACCGGGGAGGATGGTAATTCACACACACACACACACACCCACTTGGGTAATAGTGATCTCTTAATGCATCTACAGCAGGGTATATCTCCTGAAATAGCCCCATCACACTGATCTCACCCGCCCTTGACGAGGCATCTCTGACACGTGTTTCTGACTGTTCTGTTTATTCTCTCTCTCATTTACCTGTGCAATCTGCAGCATTTCTGGGTTGAGCCTGTTGAGATGCAGCATGAACTCAGCCAGACCGATGAGCGCGAGTTGGATGGTGAACATCTTTCTGAAGGTCCAGTAGTCGGTGGCGTTGGGGAAAGTGTGCAGCGCCCACTCCTTCAGCATGCTGCGTGGGACCATGTTCCCCTGCACCTCCTTCAGGATGTCACGCAGCACCTGGAGAAATCAGACACTTAGTTCAATCTCCTACAGTAGTCAGTCAACTTCTCGCTTCTCTTGCTATGCCAAGACCTAAAAATGTAGCTGATGATAGTCGATAAAAAAAATGATTCAGCGTCTGCCATCGCTGAACTTTCTTGTTTTCCAAAAACCACTACTTTAAGAAGGAACTGGTTGATGCAAGTGTGATGTCACTGATGTGAACGAGTGTGTGTTCATTAGGGGTTAGAGAAAATATTTATACACTGAAATTTAGTTTCAGGAGCTGTATCGATTTTTTAAATTAACAATTTATAAAAATATAAAGAATATTCATGCTGTTCGTTGTGCCTATCGTATCACAGTATATTGCAATATATTGTATTGTTGTCCATGTATCCCTAGTACACACAGTGTACTTCCCTAGTGTTCATGGACTTGGGGTCTGTACCTGGTGACTGGCCTGTGTGCCTCGGGCCTGTACAGTGGCCAGACGGTCGTAATATCTGGAGATGGGGTTGTCGTGTTCGATGCCCTTCTTGGCACAGCGCTGTTTGTAGATTTCCACCAGCGACAGAGACGAAGGGTTGTCCTCCACCAGACGCATCTGAGGAGACACAGCAACCACTCTGGGCACTGGACGAAGGGAGAAGAAGAAGAAGGAGAAACAGGTGAGGAGAGCCCTGGTTAAAGGGAAAAAAGCAGCGGCAGGAAACAGCCAAGCGATGAGGTGGTGACAGGAAGAGGAAGAGGCTGAGACAAAGTCAGCCGCAATAAACAGTAAACATTTGGCTCCAGTGGCTGCAGAAATAGTTTAACTGCAGTGTAAACCAACAACTGAAATACCTCAGAGTTGGGAACAGTGGAGAGTCAGAGCTGTCGCTCCACACTAACCCGGGGTTAAAGGAGGTAAACGGGCTGCGTGAGGTTTGTCCTGTCAGAACAGGTCTAAACATTAACATACACAACAAATCAACAGCAGTGCTGATCCAGCAGGGAATGGGCGGAAAGGGCCCGCGAAGTCCCCGTCCATATTTCCCTTTAAACAAACCAATCAAGTGCATAAATGGAGCGCAGGCAAACATCTGGGTGGAGGAGAGCCACTGGGGGGGAGGGTGACTATAGAGAGGAAATAGTGCTTGAAAAGTGAATTGAAATTGTCTGTGGTGACTGAGTGGAGCAGACAGAGCGGGGAAGAATAAATAAAGATGGAAAATCTTTTAAACTGGTTACTGGGCAAAAAAAACAAACACTGGGGAAACAAGAAAAAAATGGAGTGGAGTGAAAACGTTTCTCCTGCTGCCATTCTAAAGCAACATGTTTTCAGACCGTCAGAACTTAAAGCTTTATATTTTAGGAGGCAAAGCTAGAACCATTTAGAAGATTTTATAAAACCCTATGATAACTGAATTATTTTTCCATCCCACCACCTCTGAGAACAACTGCACTCATGTCCTATTTTAAAACCCTACCAGTGAAGAAGAGGTGTCTCTTGGTGGTCTCCTTCCTCTTCTCCAGACAGGGGTTGAGGAGGCGCAGCAGCTGGAGGACCCTCTCCTCCCGGCGCGACTCTGTCAGACAGGCGTCGTTCATCACCAGGTAGGGGTAGATCTTACCGTTGTGGCCGCGGATGTAGAGACGACGTGCTGCCGTGTTGTGTTTCTGGACGATTTCCACTCTAGGCATGAACCTGGAGGAGTGAGGTAATGAGGGTGGAGGGCGTTGGGGCAGATATAATGGTTGTAAAGTTACTGAGAGACTCAGAGACCAAGTTGGTATCTGAAACTTTTTAGACCCTGAATTATTAACATAATCTTGCACTTGGAGCCTAAACAGCTGTTTTTATTTCTCTGGCTTTCGATCCCCACGTTCCCTCGTCTGGAAAAGCTCCGTACCTTGCAATCTTGATGTAGTAGTGCGTAGGTTTGGGCATGAGGAACTCCCCGGGGATCTCCACCTCGGCAGTCTGTGCCGAGAAGTTGCTGAGGAAACGGCATTTCTCTTCAATGAGGAAAAATTTGGGCAGCTGCTTTGTCTTAGCCTCCAGAATCTTAATCCACTTTTTCAGCTTGGAGATGAGATTATGAAGCTTCATGGAGCCTGGAACGCTGAAGTCGAAGTCTGGGTGAAAGAGGAGGAAAAAAAGGCAGAAAGGTTTACATCTGAACCCAGTAACAGCAAGTTTAAATGGAGAGTAAACAAACAAAAAAAAAAGAACAAAGTTCTCGAAAAAATGAAAGTCAAAACGACGTCTGAATGTTGTAAACAGTAATAGCCAAGAACATATCTTAAAGTTTTATTTTATTATGACTATATTTTTGAGAGGAAATTTTTTTATCAACCATCTCTAAAAACATGTTTCTATGATAGATAATTAAAAATAAGTGATGGGTGAAAAGATTCAGAACAAAGATAGAAAGATAGGGAGAGAGAGGGAGAGAGCAAGAAAGAAAGCTGATTAAATTAGAGTGATAAAGATGAGAGTTTAACGTATTACATTTCTGAGTCAAGTCACAACTCATAATGCAGAGAATATATTGTGATGAACAGTGGCAACAACTGAGGAGGAAGGAGTGGAGGCCATTTTTCCATTTTAGTTTAAAGCCCCTAGGACACACACAGACACACACACAGACACCAGGACACACACAGACACAGACACACACACACACTACTGTTTCAGTAGCCCCTGTTGTAGCGCCTGGTTGTACCGTAATGAATCCATGAAACAGCCAGGCCGTGCCATTTCAGACCCGCTCCATCTCTCCACGAGTGAAACCCCCTAATACTTTAAATAAGCCCTTTAAAAAGCAGCCAATGTTCTTTTTCCGTGTGGCTCTCATTCCACTCTCCGTCCGCCTGCAATTCACCTGCCTCAATAGCCGGGCTAAAATTGAAACAGTCCTGAGAAATTGCAACTCGACAACAATTCAGCCCCATAAAAGTGTTTAATGCCAACAAATGGAGGGGGAAAGTGAGGTGCACTGCAGTCCCACGGAACCACGGGACAATAAAGTGATATCACCCCACCCTCATCTGACACTAGACGTTTCACCACTTAGGGTCTGCAGAAGGTCACCAAGGTCACCAACCACAGAGTTATTTTACTCCATAGGAATAACTTGTTCTGGTAATCACGGCCAGCTCTTACCACACACTGTCCCTAACACTAGTGGACAACAGATGAAATGACAATGACTGTTATTTATTTTTTGGATGATTGTAATACTTAACAATAACAAAGTGGAAATCATAGAAAATGTTTCTCTCGGCTTTGGTACTAAAACTAAACTGCAGAGAGACACAAAGGTTCAGCTTTCCACAGAGTGAGAGTTATTTTCAGTTGCCCTGAACTCACCCTTTGACCTCAGGTCTGTCAGCAGGGGAGAGGGAGGCTAAGAGAAGGTGTGAGGTGCACAAGAAGCCAAGTGACTTTGACCTTTGTGAGAACCAGAGCTGGACCTCTGACCCACCTGGCTGACCTGACAGACCACAGCAGACACTGCTGCACCCAATTACTGGTCTTGACTCAGGGGGGTGGGCTATCAGCCTCTGGACAAGTAACTTTCTCTAAAGTACTGCTGGGGGGATTGGTTATAGTTAGAAAAAAACAACAACAACCAATAACAAAAAAAAAAGAAACAGCCAACAGCATACAATTAGCTCAACAAACAAAGTCTTATAATCAGCTCAAAAGAAAAGAAGTGATTAATCGATAGGCTAACAAACCTTTTTTAGTAAAGGTTAAAAATGAAAAAAATTCTGAATAAAGAGATTTCACCACACAACACATATGTTATCTACTTTGCCTTGAAACTGCCATCTGCAGGCTACCTTGGTCTGCTAATAGGTAACAAGTGAATGGCATTTCACTGTGACAAAAACCATTTAAGGACTGAATTTGAAACGTGTCCATTTGTACAGAAAAACATTCTGTGACAAAAGCCACTGGAGCAGACCCTGCTGCTCAAACCGTAACTCATGCAAATAGCATTCAGTGTAATTGGATATGAATGCCTCCCTGCTGCCAAATGTTATATGTGCAAACATAAACCCATATTTTATGGCCCACAAACCCCGTGCAAGAGACTGAGCCACTGACGTGAGTGCTGGGCTGCTCGGCAGCTCCGTAAAGCCTCTTTGTTCCGCTCCGCAGGACTTGTGTGGTTTTTCACTCTCTGTCTGCCCGATATGCCACGTCACAGCTGGGGGCAGCTGGGGAGCTGTGGTCGGTGAGGAGGGCCCTCGTCCAGACGGGAGCCCCGTGACGCAGGGCTGCCTGAACACAGCTGGTGCTGCAGCATCTGCTGAGACTCATCAGCACGGAGCTGTTTGTCTCCTTCAGTCTTGTTTGTGTTGTTCATCCACTCGGTGCATTTGATGTTTCCATCACTAACACGGCTGCCTGAGACATGTCTTACGGAGCAAATAAAATTAATTTAAGGTGCTTTGCTGCCACCTACAGGGCTGGAGTCTGTCAAGGGAACCTTGGGTGTTGCAATTAAATGCTGATTCTTATTTATCTTTATTTAAAATACTTCTTCAAGTTTTTTATCTTTAAAAAAATACAGACAGAAAGATATCAAATTCTTTCTGTCTGTATATTAATAACTGAAATTGAAATTCATATTTATAAATTTAAATCTATAGTCATTTAACATAAAAATAGTAATTTAAGTGTTTAAAAAATAAATATAGTTTTAAGTCTAGACTTTGTTCTTAAATCAGGTTTTAGTGCTGGCTGTTTCCTCATCATTTCTTTTCTCCTTCTAGCTGCAGTTAATTCACTCCGTCTCACTCTCTCTGCCCTTCACTGTCCCAGGGCCAAACACATTAGCTCTATTGGCCACTCACAGGATCACTGAAGGGTAAAAGAGGAGACTCTAAAGAGGAGAGCAGGAGAAGAGGAGACAGCAGAGGGAAGAGGAGAGGCTGTGAGGAAGGGTGATTAAAAAAAAAATGGATTGAGCCGCCCTCGGGTTTTTTACTGAGCGGAGTGATTGAGTGAACATGTATGTTCCGTCCGTACAGAGGTCTATTTAGGACAGGCGTTCCCCGTGTTAGTGCACGCTCCAGTGAACTGTGTTTAAACTCACTTATGTAACGTGCAAAGAGCAGCGCACGTGGCAACCGAAAAGCCAAGAAACGATAAACGATGGATAAAAATGTTCTCTGGAGAAAAAAAGCACCTGTCCTGCTGGATTCAAACTCCTCACCTCTGTCAATGAGCCAACCACGTCTGGGTGTTTCATCAACATCCCACCAGCAAACACACACAGTTAAAGTTGCTTTAAATTTAAAATCTAAGTCAAAACCTTTTCCCACGTCTCGTCTTGTCATGTTGCTGTTGCTACCTGTTCTTTGTAGGGTGTAAAAAAAGAAATGATTTAGTTTTAATACCGTATTAATAATTGGCCATTTCAAGAGGTTTTACAGTGGATTCCTGTTACCATACAGAGACCTGTCCCTGATGTCCCCACTGTAACATTACTGTACATTTCTTCACACCATTAAGTAGCAACAAAGAGGAATTAAGTCATTTCACATCTGCTCTCCAGTGGCTTAAGAAAAAGCAGACAATTGAATTTACACAGCGTCTGCAGTACCTTTGTGAGCTGCGTTCCCTTCTGCTACAGTCAGCAGCCTGTGCACACAGTTTCTCTGACAATGAGGGAACTACAGGCGGAACAACGTGCAACAAAGAACACCCAATTCCTGGTGGCCCGGCTGTACAATAACAGCAGCTTGAAGTTGAACTGAATTTACATGTCGTGCATAAAGTGGCAGAAGTAACGTGACGCCAATGTGGTGAAAATTGCTCCCACTCAGCCCCTGGTGAAGTGTGAGTCTATAAAGGCTGCCGTGGGAATCTATTTCACTCTGATGTGAAAAAGCTGCCAAGAAATGAAGTTATTTCATTATGCTGCATTACAGTGGAGACACACAGTGTGTTTTATAGGCTCTCACACCAAACCAGAGCTTATGAGAAAAGGGAACTAACTCACTTAAAGTTCACAGTTCCACAGTTGCACTGTAATTTAAGTGTGTTCAATGTCTGGTCCGAGGACCAGACATTTTTACTGACCGCCATTCATTCATTCAAACAACAGCAGCAGCTTCACTCTGGCTGAGCTCAATAACAGTGCAGTCTCTCCTGACAGCATCGTTACGAGCTGAACATGTAACCAGGTCGATTCACTGCTACTGAAGCCAATCAGTCTCCAGGTCTATCACTGTGCTGACACCTACGCTAACAGCAACACTGCTCCTGTGTGCTAAGAAGATTGATTGACTGTTAAATTGATTTAGGGGCAGAGGTGTTAAAACCAGTTGTGATGCTGGAGTAGAACAACCACTGCTGCTCTTCTGATACTGAAGACCACAAATGAGTGCCGTGCAAAAAATGCGTAAAAGAAGTGAGCTGACCTGTGGTGAACTGTCCCTTCATCTTCTGGAACACTGGGTCCTGCGCCGTGGCTTGAGCTCGGCGAGCCAGGGACTCGGAGGCGGCGCTGGAGAACATGGTGGAAACGTTGGAGACGTTCTCCAGACCCACGCCGAAGGTGCTGACCAGCTTCTTGACAAAGTTGAGCGTGTGTGGCGTGATCTTGGCGTCAGACACCGCTCCGCTCTTCTCAAAGGCCACTGAGTAGCACTTGGCCAGACCCTGTTGGAGCTGCCTCAAGACCTGGGGAGCAGCAGACATTTGTGTTCATCACAGGATAAAACATGGTCTCAGGGTCTGTACGTGTTCATGGTATCAGGCTCACAGTCAGACACATTTCAGAAAACCTACACAAACCTCCCTCATCATATAATGTTTGTTTTTTTTAAACACCAAAGGCTGTAGGTCAAAGGTCAATCTGAGGTCAAATTAGAATTTTTTTTTTTAGAATATTTTATATATCTTAAAATATGTTTTCTTAGAATATTTTATATATCTTAAAATATATTTTATTTTAGTTGCCTGTTAGTAGAACAGTGTGTTCAGTTAATGTAAGAGGACACACACACACAAGACTGCAGACATGGAGGAAGGAAACCCAGACCCAGGTCTTGTGCTGCCTTCACTTGTTTTAAAGTGTTTCCCCTGGGAGTCATTTAAGGCTGAATGGTGGCTGTACAGTAACAGTGTTACATGTAACAACAGCACTGCCACCTGCTTCACTCTGCTTACTCGCACTTTTACTCGCATGCACACACACGCGCGCGCTCACACACACTCCTGCACCTCTGCTGATGGAATAAAGGCTAAACAACAATGCTATTCCTGAACAGTGAGGCTGAACAAAGGAGCGTAATAAAGCAGAGTGAAAACCAACACAATCGCCGCCGGTTCCTGAAGCAGTGGCGTGATTTCATACACACCGGGCCTTCAGTGCCGAGGTGATGTGCGACTGTGACCCTGCTCACCCTGTGGAACGGAGCGCAGGCGCCCCACAGCTGCTGCTGTATGTCACCAGCCATCACAGATAATCACAGCAACACACAGACATCAACAAACTTCCAGCCCTAAATCCCTCGTCCCATCCTACACGCTCACTGCACCCATCCATCACCCAGATCTCCTGCTGCCTGTCTCCCTCCCCCACCTCCACCTCCACCCGGAGCACAGGTAACATGTGTGGAGGCTTCCAAGCATGCAAGAAACTATTTCCTGAAGCCTAGCAAATATTTATTAGAGGAAAAAAAATAATACATTTTTGGCTGAACGAGTGATTTAAGCTGACGTGCACTTTAGCGAAAGAGATTAAAAAAACAGTACCGTGATGTGATGAAGTTAAGGGGGAATCGAGTGTCTGGAAGAAACTTAAATCTACTGGATTCTCTGCTTCAAAAACAAACCAAAAAAAGTTATTGAGGTTATGCCCAGCTCTGAAGTTTTTATGGCAACATCATGATTTCTCAGACTTAAACTATATCCTGTCCAGGGAACGTCAGACCAAGTATTGTCAGATATCCAATATTTTAGTGTGTATTTTAGCTGTGACTTGTTCACTGACACGTGGTCAAAAAATGCTTTTAGCCCCAAATCTAATTGTCCATCCCAGAATGAAGCGTTCACCTACTGTGGATTGGCATATGTCTGACCAGCACAGAGAAATGATCAGCCAAATGATGGTCATATGGTGGAGCAGGTGGTGGGACATACATACAAAGACGTGCAGACACAGTGGCTTCTACACATTTAACAGTATACACACACAGGTGTATAACAGCTCCCACAGCCAGCTGCACTGTTACCTCACTATCTGATCTGCTAATAGCAAACACACACACACATCCACATGTGCACATGCACACGCACACTTTGTTCTTCTCACCTCTTCATGCCAGTTCTCTCTGAACCACACCATCTGGTCCACGATGCCCTCCAGGGAGGACAGCAGGGTGGGGTGGAGCTCCCTCTGCATATGCATGATCCTGCTGCAGCGCCACATCGGTGCCGTGGCCCGTATGGGTCCTGGGTCAGAGGCCCCAGAGTGAGCCTGGGCTCCCACTGAACTGGGTTGCTGCTGTCCAGATGCATCTGTGGCCACAGTAGAGAGAGAGAGAGAGAAATATAACAGAAAATAGGGTAAAATATAGTAAACACACATCGTCTGTTTACTCACCACTCTTATAGCGCTCCCTCTGCTCGATCTTCAGCGTCAGGTAAAGGGTACGGATGGGGAAGTAGACAGCCTGAGGGTACACTCGTCCCACCTAGCAGATAAAAGTGTCAGTGATTACATTTCAAAGACTCCGCCTCAGGACCGCAAAAGAGGGAGACAGCAGGCAGACTGAGGTGGAGAAAGAGTGGATGGAGCGGGAGAGAAAAAAATGTCTGTGTGTGTGTGTGTGTGTGTGTCAGGTGGAGAGAAGGAGTCGGAGATCATACTGATACAGGTCGAGACCTCTGCTACAACAGAGGGAGCTTTTGAAGCTCCAAGACAGAGGAGTTATGGGAGTTAAAACACATCATGGCTGAAACAAAAGTGAATGTGACTGATGATGAAACTGACCTCGAGACTTTCAAGAAAAGTCACTGACAAAGGAGTGAGTAGGGGAGTGAAGAGAGTTGAAGAGAGACACAGCACATTCTGATTAAACCTGATAAAATGGGAGCTTCTGACTAAGACTGTGAAAGAATGTGGGTGTATATTTTGAAAAAAAAAAAAGAAAAACCTCATTGATGCTCAGTCCTTAAGGCCTGGGGATCAGGGGCCTTGAGGAGATTTCAAAGAAAAGTAAACGTCTAAAATACATTTAAAAAAGACTTCCTTCCCTTTTTGACTAAAACTAAAATATTATGAATTAGACTTTTTGTAGAGCCTGATCTTTATGTCTTTATGTATAGACACCAAACATGGCCAGGTTCTTCATGAAGTACACATCAGTGGCTGCAGACTATGGAGCTTCCTTTCATAAATGACACGACTAAACATTTTTTGGACTAAAAACTGAATAATTGTCATCCCTAAAAACAGAAACAAAAGCATCAGAGCGAAAAATGACCCACACTTTGACGGTGAGGTATTTTCAAAATGTTTGCTGGTAAAAACATTAATTTGACTTCTCTTCAAATGCTACAGTCTGGATATTTATCCATCTGTTGGTCATTTTTACTTGAAAACCCAGCAATTCCAGAGAAAATGACCTTGAAAAGAGTGAAGGTCAAACCCACCGGCTACAGGAGCAGTTACCCATCCATCAAAGGGTCCCTCCAAGCTTACATTGTAGCAGTACCAAAAGCATTTGTCTTTGAGTGGTGCCCAGTAAATGAGTTCACGCCCCCCATCCTGACGCCCCAGTGGTCACTAAATGACTCTGGGGAGGCACAGTGATACTGTATATCCTGCTTTGATGGTGTAAAATATGACTAAATCAGGTAGAAATTACACCTAAAAGTGCAATAACCGGGATGTAAGAGGAACTGTGACAGAAATTCGAAGTGAAAGAGATCTTTTAGCCTGGTTTTGGAACCACTGGATATTGATAGTAGACCGCAGGCTTCGCTCAGATCTCAGAAAAATTTCATAGGATGTAATTACGTGGCTACCCGATCCCTTCCCTGACCCACTGCACGCCTGCGGGGCAGAAAAGGGATACCCCCACATCTCGACAACAACCCTGAGCTCAGGACAGGAAGGTGGAGGTGAAGGATATAGGAGACGAATGGAGGAGGAAAGAAGAGGAATCTTTTTCACACATTATCCCACATCAGTGTGGATTTGGTAACCTCTTAGCTGTTCTCTAGTCAAATTAAGGCCTTGGCTAGACAGTCAGAGCACAGTCCTGGGGACGTGCAGAAATCCAGTAGTCCAGGTGAATGGTGACTAAAAGCTGAAGACATGTAAATAGATTTTTGCCAAATTCAATACATGAGTCGCTGTCAATCAAACAGGTTTGTGTTTTTTTAGCCAAATCTGAATGATGTCTGGACAGACGTTGCCAAGAGCGAGTGACAATGGAAAACAAGACAAAAGCATCAGAGGGAGAGGGGAAAGTGCTGAAACCAGTCTGTCCAGTCTGTAATGACTGCTAAAGAGTGCCCTTTAGCCATATTGTTTGTCATCAGGGCATGTCACAGTTCTTCTGTCAATGTTTAACCACAGGAAGCTCATCCAAGGAACAAGAAACTATTTTAACAAGACTGTGCAAATGCAACCTAATCTACAATAGTTGGTGGCCAATCTAGTCTTTATATAAAGTTAGTACAGGTAGCACTCTCAGATAGCACCAACACGGAACAGACTCTTGGCCCATTTTTCCTAATACTCTGATCAAAAGTTTCTTGGATCGAACTAAAACAATTTCATCAAACAGTCGTTTTTCTCAGCGGAGAAGTGCCACTGTAACTGAATAATTAATATTATCGACTCCAGTCGTCAGTGGTTCGGTGTTGTTGAAATACTGTACGTATTCAATACCTCCACATGTGCACGGTCTTACGGGATGCTGCAATCGCCTAGAACCTTCCTTTGCTGATTGTCTCATATTTTTCAGTTTTATGTCCCCGTGAACATCCAGTAAATGTTCAGTGGAGAAGCAGAGTGAGTCAGGAGTTCCAGGAAGACAGAGCCTTAGGTGGCAGCTAACAACGGCATTTGAGAAAGGAAGAGTGAGGATGGCAGAGCAACAAGGGGAAACAAGATGGTATGCAGAGGGGGAGGCTAAATGCTAATGTTTTGATGTGTGGAGGGAGGAAGGTGAGGTGGTAAGGAAAGGTGGAAGTGTCCGTGTACGGACGGCTGCGGAGATTCCCTCTTAACTTTTGATTCATCTCCTCCACCAGCCCCCAGGCGATCTTCTCCTCACCTTCATCAATATTTCAATGTACGTTTTTTAAACATCTCGCCGCCAGAGAGAAACACTAAATTATTCAGCCGCAGATATAAAGTCTTCCACACATTAAAATGTGGTTCTCTCTCTAAACATGTGATGGGTTTAAGAAAAGAGCGCCGAGCCTTTTACAGTTATCACTGGGTGAAGAGGTGTAGCAAAGAGAGAGAGAGAGAGAGCCTGCAGGTGTATCCACCCACCCTCTATCTGTAAGTACTGTATGCAGAAAAGAGAGTACTAATGTCAGAATTTTTAAAAAGAAAAAAAACCCTCTGGATTCTGGATCATTTCCAAAACAGCTTTGATACTTGAAGCAGTTTTGGAAAAAAAAAAAAAAAAACAGCTATTTTTAACTACTTCAAGGTTAAACTGTAATGTGACCTTTCATTGGACTAAAGTAACAAATTAAATAAAAGCAGAACAACTATGAGCTTCCTTGCTCGGAGCCAGGCTTTTAATAGTGACCTGTTTCCTCTTCATGTTATGTCTTAAAAAGGCAAAGATTAGCCAAAGTAATCAGGGCTCCATCACACACTTGCTCTGTCTTTTCATGATTACACTCCTGCTCTCATATTTCAAATCCCCCTCTCTCTCCTCCATCTGTTCCTTCATATCTCCCACACAGCACTCCCTCTCTGCTGAGAGGCTGGTTGTTTGTTATAGCAGACTACTCTTTGAAGACCCCCACCCCTTCAAATTGTGCGGAAATAATACTCCATTAAGCAAAGCAAATTAGTCCTCGCTTTAATTACTAGCTCTGTTCCCGCAGTGCGGATGCATTCGATATTAACTTTATAATAATTTCTTAAGAAAATCATTTAAAAAAACTAATTTAGCGGGGGATTTGTGAAGGCCGATAAAATTTGCTTAAAATGGACAGTGATTGAGGCTGAATGCCTAATTTGGTAAATATAAAAAAAAAAAACGTTGGGGCAGAGGGCGCATTTGTGTGAACGCATGTCATTTATCTGGATTAGAACGGTGGATGGATGAAGAGTGCTGATCTATACACAGGGCAGATGTTTGACCCCAAAATGGAAAATGGAAGTTGATAAAAAAAAACACTGAACTGTTAGTTAACAGAAGAAGAAAAGATGCTTTCAAACACAGACTGTTAGTTGATACAGCTTTTTCATGGATTCTTTTTGGAAATCATTTAGAGAAAACACTGCTGGTTGACTGATCAGATGCAGAGTAGTGAACAAGTAGTATATTCCAAAAAAGCCCTCTGGTGGGGGTCAAGATAGGGGCTTACATGCAACTCAATGCAGACAGTGTGTGGCCCCTGTGCCTCTGGTTTGTGACCGTCTTGTTAAGTCTTTACCTGACTGATAAGGTTGAGCAGAGGTTTTCCCTCTGATCCGACCAGACAGGTCAGGAGCTGCGGTATCCAGGCCAGCCACTGGATTGGTGGGACTCCGATGCAGTACTTGTCTACGGCTTCAGCCAGAGTGTTCTTGTCATCAAAACTGAGGAGCCACAAAACCTACGGACAGAAGAAAATGACTCTAAAAGTTAAATAGGGGAAGTTTTAAAAACTACAATAATGAAAAATAAAATTAAAATAATGAAAACAATTGATAGTAGTTTTAAACACAGAGAAGCAAGATTTTAGCAGATATGTCCTCTACATTAACCAGACCAGAGCTGTTTCTCTGGGTCTGCGAGGGGTGTGGGGGGGTGTGGGCGTGTACGTCCACATGATGATGAAGACATTAACCCCACTCGACCCCCCCCCGGGTGTCTTCAGCCAGCCAGCGTGGGTATACAGACTGTGTATAATTACTGATAATCACTGGTCATCTGACTTCATCCATCAGGACTAAGCAGTGCCAAACCCAGCTTGGCAGCACAATACCAGAGAGGGCCACCAGGAGAAAAGAAGAGCATCTAATTGGAATGTGACACGGGTGGGGGCCATTATTACACCAGCTAATGATAGTAAAGCCTGATGGTTAACACTGGACGGCACAAGGCTATATTTATTATTTATACGGCCGGACTCAGTGGCACTAATCTCACTCTCCTGTGGCTTTTTGAAAACAGAGAGCAGCAGGCGGGTTGGTAAAGTTTTCACAATCTGTCAGCTCCTTCCAGTCCATTAGCGACGGTGTAGTGGAGATTTTTTTTTCTACTAATGAGCACCACCTGACCTGGATTCAGCAGCTCCTCGTGCTTCACCCATTATAAGAACATATAACGGCCTCTCTGCACAAACCTCCGGAGAGGCGTACTGAATGAATTGATGTTTGTGAGACGGTGGGTCGCTTGTTAGCAAAGACTCCTGCCACACAGCTCTTAGCCTTAGTTAGCAACACTACAAATGTTAGCACCTAGTCCGCTACCACCCACCTTCCACCCCTCCCTCATTGTGCTAGCGCGTGGCCTTCACTGAAGCATTGATCAGCCGTGGGAACCAGTCCACACTGTAAACTCCAGGATCGCAATCAATCAATTTACCACTCTGTGCCTGGAGTCGTGACAGTTTGAAAGAGGAGTGGGGGGGTTGGGGTGGAGGATGTCTGTCTTCTCATCAGCACCACTAATATATGGGCTGGATCGGGTCAGGAAACCAGGGAATTAACTGTGAACCTATTTGGAAAGACGCCTGATGGAGACTGAAGGTTTTACAGAGGTTGCTGATATGCTGTTTTCACACAGCAGTGGGACAAAGGCATCCTGGAGAACCAGGACGTCATGAAGAAACACTGATGTCTCCAATGATAGCCTTCTACCAGCGGTCTTCACCTGAACTGAAAACAGATAATAAAAGTTCCAGCTTCAGGGTTCAGTAATCACCTTTGCCAGGTATTTGCGGGACTTGCTCTCATTTTGGTGGCGGCAGGCGTGGAGGTAGCAGGTGATGGCAGACACCCCCAAGTGGAGTTGTCGGTCCTTGACAAAGATGTTCTCCAGATAGTCGCCCCACATGGCCCAGGCCTTCACTAGCACATCATGCATCTGCACCGCCGCCGAAAAGGCCTTGTTTGCCTCCTCTGACCTGGAACCAAGAGGAAGAGAGAATGAATCTCAGGGGTCATGTGTCAGGGGCAGGAGGCTGATGGTGAACAGGGAGGGAGGGAGAGAAAAGCAACAAAACAAAAAAAAAATCCCTAACTATTAGAGGTGCTACAACATTAACATTAAAATGCAACTATGTATTTTATGGTTTAACCCCGATGTTTAGTTGCACAAATTCAAATTCATTAACCAGTCAGGTACAGATGGTGTGTTAGACAAACACAAAAAATTCAGTCGTGACACAGGTGCTGCCTAAAGGCCAGGGGCGGGTTAAAGATAATTAATTAATTTTATCTATCAGTAGGAGTACAATGACACAAAGCGGAGTCTTCTTTCTCTTCATAATTTGTTTGTGCTTTTAGCTCGGTGTGAATTAATATCACCACGGGTTAAGCTGTTTGGATACAACGTAACATGAGTTGATCCAAACCTATCATACTGTGCACATCAGTCCTTTTAATACAAGGTGACACATCTTCGCATTTAATCCTAAGTCACAGAGACGCAGCGCAGCAGGAGCTAAAGCACAGCCAGTGCGTTTATCAGATTGCTGAAGGTCACTGACGCCACAGAGAGAAACCTGTAGTTGTGATAAAAACAGGGAAAAAAATGAAATTTTTATCCTGTAACTGCAGCCCTGCAGTCACACTCTAAAGTGTTTGATTTAGATACAGTTAAGTAGCAGGGAAAACAAATGGAGAGGTGAAATGTGGCAGGAGCCCTGAGTCGGGAGTGCAGCCGTTATGCTGACAGAGAAATATATTCTGAACCATCAGCTGTTTTCACCACGCCTGCCGGTTCCTAACCACTCCTTGGCACCATGTGTGAATAATGTTGTCACACCTTTCAGAGTTCGATTAATAAATAAGATGCAAGGGGGCGCCGTCAGACGCACCATCTCACAGTCAAAATGAGGAGACAGGTCTGTCGATAGGAAGGGAAAAAAAAAACAAACAAAAAAAAAAACAGCTTGACTGAACGCCATTTTTAGAAGTGAATCCAAATGTACTCTCCCACTCACTTATACTCAAATGTCTCCTAAGCCTATTAGCTGAAATGTGTTATTACAAAAGGCATGTGATTAAGAAACGGGAGCTTGATTGCTATGGGAGTCACAGCCGTAGACTTATGAATACCACAATACTCCAGAAACACATAATGGGTCGTCCTCAGTCACTTCACGTCACACACTGGTACAGTTTGGTCTCTGCAGCTCAACAGGGACACAGGAAGTCCAATCTCTGACACCCGTTTAATTGAATGATCCCAAGATCCTTGGCATACGTGGCTGTGCGCGCACACGCACACACACACACACAACCCCCATCCTGCTGTTAATTCTGCCCCCGGTGTAAAAGGCGAAGTTAATGATTGCAATAAACCCTGCTGAGGTGGAGGCAAGTTCTGCTGATCCCATAGATTCCTGCAAATTGCCCGGAGTTAATTATTGAGCTGCATATACATTTAATAAGCTTTCCTCAATTTGTTTTTTACCCTTTACGATGCTGTGTCATGTCAAAGATGATGGGCTGAAATAAAGAGGGGGCAGGAGGGTAGACATAGAGGAGCAGTGGGGGTGGGGGTCAACAGGAGGAATGGAAAGAGCAGCCGTTTCCTCCACAGGCAACCCCGCAGCTAAAAACACATTAGTGGCACAGCCATGTGCTTATGACATAGTCACACATTAGCATTAAAGCTACGTCATGGGGTTTTACCTCAGTCTATAATGATGGAAGTGTGCGAATGAGAAACGCTCATTAATTTGACTCTGTTGTTTATACATCAAGACGAAGAAGCGCCAAGAGATTGTGACAGAAATATGAGGAAGAGGGCGTGACAAGGAAGACAGGGCTGTAGGAATATTGATATGGTATTATGAAATGAAATATCACAATATTTGGGTTGTTTAACCCCACTCAGTTTTGACCAATCAACGATTGGACCACCGGCGTACGTACTTGTTGATCTGGGCCAGAAACATGCCCTTGAGAGCGTAGAACTCGGCCGTCATCTCCTTGGTGAAGTACTTCAGATTGGTGGACTCTATCACCTCCAAACCCTGCAGAAGAGAGAGGCTGAGCTTTAATATCAACCCAAAGTGCACCAAAGAAAGTTTGGCAGCAGCAGCAGGAGAAAAGGAACCACAGTTAGATACCGCAGCATTGTTTGGGCCGTAATCACAGGTGAGAAAACAAACAAAAGCGCTCGGTGTTCATTAGGAAGGAGAAGAAAAGATGTGTTGGGGGTAACTACATCTCTGATTAGGTGTCTCTTATGTACTGCAGTGACAAATGATGTGCAGCAGCAGAGAGAGACGGAGAGCACCGGAGGATATGAGATAAAGGTGAGGAAGAGGAGGGGAGAGGAGTGTCTGCTGGCACTTTTAATGACTTGTGCTGTGCTGGACTGCTTCTATTAATCAGAGCGCTCTGTGGGCTTAAGAGCCATCTCCTGAGTTACACTCTCTTATAAGACTGCCTGCTATAGCCTGTCACCTACAGCCACCCCAAAACAATTCTTGCTCTTACCCCTGTTCCCTCCGTGAGGCACCGCTAACTACACCTGCAGCTGCTGCCAACAGCCGTCGGCTCAGGAGCCTAAATCACATTAAATGCATCAAATGCACTGCCCTTCAGTAAAAACTTTGATGAAATTGGAACATCCATTACTACGCCCCAGATCTCTCCCAGCTGTGCAGCGTGAGGTTGCAGGTGTTGCATCGTGGGGAATATGTTCGTCTCTTTTTTTCTGGTTTTGATTGGACATAATTTGAGATTGTACAAGCAAATTGATTTTGTGCTGTTTCTAATGAGCAACTCTGCCAATAAGATTTTCACTCAACTTACAAGTTGCAATAAAAAAAGTTATGTATTGGCAAATAAAAACCCAAAGCAATTTAGGGAACGACAAAAACACTCATTAGGTTGTGGGCTTTGGTAACAAAGTCTTACTGCAGGGAGCGAGAGACACCAAAAGGCAGGTGTTGTACTGCAGTTATGTTAAGATCTCTAATTTGTTTCTGAGATGTTCCACAATAGGGTAGGTCAAAAAGTTGTAATACAAATTTAAAAAAAAAAGATTTGATTCTCAATTTTTTTGACACCAGGTAACAATGTGTTTCTTTGCCCTGTTGCAAATTGTTGATAACTTCACAGGTGCTCTCTTGCAAAATTGTTGATAACTTCACAGGTGCTCTGATTTGAACAGTTAATAAATGTAATGACAAAACGCCTGAGAAACCTGTACCTGCATGCACTCATTCTTGCCCATGACACCAGCCAGCTGCAGGTAACATTTGACCTGTTGCCTGATCTTCTGGAAACAGTCCACGATGGGCACGGTGGGGATGGTGTGGATACGACTCAGAATGTCCAGAGCTACGTTCACCAGACCCTGCAGGACATGACGGGTTAGAAAACACCGAGGACACAATAAAAAAACTCCTTAAATTTAAGAATTTGTCACTTCACCTGTTTACGTCCAATCTTTCCGTACTGAATGATGGCAGAGGCGGAGGCGTGGACTCCCAACATGGCGTTATTATTGTTGGGATCATGCTGCGTGTTTGTCTCGTATGCTGTCACTATGGCTGCAGAGAGAGACGTAGCAAAGTCATTAGCCGTACTGTTGTCTGTGTTAAGTGTCACTGTTAAAAATGTATGGAATACAGGAGGATGAGGAAGAGGAGGATGAAAAAGAGGAGGAGAGCCTGGAGCAGAGTACACACTCTGAAAAGCTCTGCTGTCATATTGCAAAAACAGAGAGCGGCGTGGGCCTCGGAGAGGGAGGGGCCACAAATGTTGTGAACAGTAAATGGGCCATGGTGATGAAATTTCATCAAGAACGTTTCATTTCAGTGTAGCACTGAGGTTTTTCGAGGGCGACCGTGTATAAATAAGGTGGGGCTTTATTGGCACCGTGCTGCAGAGGCAGCGCTGGTATTATTACTATTTCAGCTCCTCACACAGAGCGAGCTGGAGTTCAAGTTGCATGAGACATCACATTTTGCAGTGGCTGCCTCTCAGAATGGTTTCAAAGTCACCATGGGAGAGAGACGGGCAACGAGCAAGGTAAGTGTGCCCTGGTGTGTGTGTGTGTGTGTGTGTGTGAGGCAGCCCGTAGTGAGACGGAGTGCTTTATCGAGCTGACAGTAGGAATGTACAGGGAGCCTGAGGTGGTTCTGTACATCTTGGCCTTTTAAAGAAGTTTCCTTTATGGGATGAACATCAGACTAGAAGACGAGGAGAAAGTCTGCAGCGGCCGGCCCTGGTACACTTTTATACATGATTTATACAAGGAGAATACACTCAATTTTACCAGTGATGGGACTGTGGGCGTGTGTCACACCTTGGTAGTGATGCTGGCGCCACATGAAGATGCTGCTCCAGTGTGACAGGTCATCAGAGACAATAGGCAGTCTGTTCCTCCAGGTTTTCACCACTGTCTTCATGTCATGGAGGCTGTTGTTGCGGCCCAGGTTGGCTGGCTGAAGGCCGGCGTTAATTTGAGCTGCTTCTTGCAGCTCGATGATCTGCTGTGCTGCCTGCGGGGGACAGTATTAATAATAAGTGGCGTTGAAACTTTTATACAGCGTCACAAGGATCTTCTTGACCACACTCCCTGACAGCTTCCCCCACATTTTGAAACTCTTACGCCGCATGGCAGAAGGCTGACATGGATGGTAAACACAAAAAGTGCAAAAACCATTTTGGTTACAATTGTGTGTTTTTAGCACGTCTGGCACTGCTATTAACTTTAGTTATCGAATTATACGGGTGCTTATTGTGAAATATCATGATATAACGGCGTATCGATATTTTTCATTTCAAGAGTGGCATAAAAAAAAATCTCCATGTTAAAGTTTCTTCCACAACAACCCTGTGACTGGTTATTGTTACTGTCAAACTTCTGATTAAAATAATTTCCACTCTTAGATTGCAAAGAAAATTAAATAAAACAACAATTTTGTCACTTAAAATCATTTGGCAAAACAAAAAATCATTACAGAGTGGCAACAATATCTTATCTGCAGTGAAATGGAAGCGAAAATAATAGAAATGACAAGAGATGGGAAAATGTGAAAATGATAAGTGAGTGCTTCGCTCTCATTCTGCCAAGAGAAGCACCATTGATTGGCCCAGAGCCTCGATGTGAACATACTATCAATCATTCCATTATAACAACTCATCCATCAATATTAACGCCAGGCCTTTATAATCGATGGCATGGCTGATAATCCATTGATCGTCAGTCAGAGCCGAGGGCTGAGATTTGATGATATCTTGATTCAAATGGTATTTCAAGCCTAATGTATTTGCAGAATCGGGGCGTTCTCCTCGTTCTCTGAGGCATGGAGCGGTGAACGTGTGAGATAGAGTTGGGAATGGAGATTTACAACAGGTCGCTCGGCCACGCAGAGGAATAAATAGCTTGTTTTCATTCCCCTAGGGTAAATTAATTGCTTTGCACATTTGCGAGCAGAGGCCTAGCAAAAATACACACACTCACACACACAAAAGGAGTGCAGTCACCCGCTTTAAATACACCCATTTTGATAAGATAAAGGTAGTGAATGGGGAGCAGTGCTGAAGACTCTGGAGTCAAATCTACCAAAACAAAATAAATTAGGCAATACAATATTTTTTCACAATTATCTGTTAATATCAGCTGACGGTCCATTCCTAACTCTTCATTCACAGCCCCCCCATTCATCATGTAAATGTAATTCTGCTGCAGGTATTTAATCAAACACTATCTGATGGCAGAGAAGTAATTACAGCTGCTCTAAACTAACTTCTTTCCTTCTCTCTTTCTCTCACTCTGTAGTCCTGTTTTGTTCACTTCCCAACCTTTTTTTCCCTTCAGTTTCCACCCCCTCCCTCGCCCTTTTATTCCTAGCAGTTTAACAGTTGGAGAGAATGGGCTTCGAGGACCCTCAGCGCCTACAGTTCTCTACTGCCATTAATCCAGTGACCTCGATAACATAAAATGAAGACGCTCCTTAGACTAAATTCACAATGCAGCTCTTAATACTCAACTCAATTAGATTTGTTACAGAGTTAGGAAACATATGTCTGTGAGGCTGAGATTCTAGAAATGAAAAAGAACCGAAGAAGCCTCTGGGGTTAGTGTTGCTTCACTGACCTGAAGCAGCGGCGTGTGCACATGGGAGACGATGTGAGGCAGCCTCCTCCACTCTCTGATGGCCAGGCTGGAAGCCAACTCCACCAGCCGCTCAATGAAGTTCAGCTGTTGCTCCTCTGGGTGGCAAATGGCCAGGTAGCCGCGGTGCATATGCACCTTCCAGGCCATCTCTTTGGGGCAGCTCATTTCCACCTGCAGGTGTGGAGAATGAAAGTCAACTTTCACATTTAAATACATGCTTATTTAATTGGTTTGACGGAGGCAACATTAGCATCAGTTGTGACCTGCCTTATCACAACATCCAATCCCCCAACGCCCCCCGACCGCACAAAAACACCAGGGCAAGTCACTGCTGAGGTGGAGGAGAGAAAAGGTCCTGCTTATTGATTAAAACACTGACATTACACATTAACACTAAAACAACAGCCTGGGGGCGCCAGGTCACATGGGGGTGTTGTTGTTTGTTTGTTTACAAGTTCCCAAGCTCAACACTATACCCAGCAGCAGCCGAGCTGTGTGTTTGTGTTCACACTGATGTTGGGAGAAAATTACAGCAATCGGTCAAAGCGCACCTATCAGGGGTGACACTTGATGAATACCCCCCCAAGACAGGGCCGCCCTTATCAAGAGCTCGCTTTAATTGAAAGCGGGGACATTTGGACTTTGTCTTCCAGCTCGTGAGCTCCGGGTGGGCAGGTAACTGAATACCCTGCTCTTCTTCCTCAGCCATGAAACAAATCACCCTGCAGCAGATGCCCGGGTAATTATTCACACCTGCAGCTGTCGTAAATATTAGCCGTTAGATCTGGAGCTGGAGAGAGAGGAACTGAGAGATGGAGGAAGGAAAGGAAGAAGTGAAGGGAGGAGTAGACCCCAACAAAAAAAACAAAAAAAAAAAAACAAAATTCCCTGCAATAATTGAAATCCATCCCTCTGCTGTCAGTCCACCTTGCTGGCACATGCCGGGACGTTATTTAAATATTTATATTGTACAGATTCTCTGATCATATCAAGGCAGTTCCATGAATTATGGAACATGTACAAATATGTTCTTCCTTGCGCAGGAACTGACAGACAGTCTGCAGGAGTGGACACAGTGGAGGTGCTGCTGCCACACAGACAGTTTAATTAGGTGTCACCTCAGGACAGAGCAGCTCTCTTGGCTCCAAGTCTCCTTGAAAGACTCTGCTCTGAGTATTTGTTCTACGCCTGGTGCCGTTCTTCTCTCAGCCTCCACACACACTTTGTTTTAGTGAAGACAATAAATTAGCCCACCAAACAGCTGAGGTACATTTGCACAGCTTTATAGCCACGCTCCCTCACTTTAGCCGAGGGGATGTGGAGAAGCCGGACGGCATCAATATGAGGACACGACACTTTACTGACTGAGGACTGTACAAGTAAATGGGACTAAAACAAAATGACCACTGAGCAAATGTTCTGGTTGACTGAGTTGAGGCCAAGACATGTTGGTCGTGGTTTTTACTTTCAGACTAACTGTTGGAGGTTATTGGACTTTTACCGTGACGTACTGTGTGAAGCAGGCGAACGGTCAAAACTGTCTAAATCTCAACATGGCGACTGACTGGGCTGCTCTCACCTGCTCCAGAGCCTCCTTCATGGCAGCCCAGTTGGACACTCTCCAGGCACATTCAAGCACCAGGTAAGGGTTGGTGTGACCTTTGGACTGGCCGTACTCTGTCAGAGGCTCCCACTGATTCAGTTCCTTGGAACAGCTGCACACAAACATGTGAAAAGTGAAAACAACTTCAGTTAAATCTTAGTGTTAGACACAATATTTTATTCTGCTTTTTTTCAGCTTTTTTGTTTCCCCAGGCTTGGACCCTAAAAAGTCAAATCAAACAGTGGAGTAAAACAGAGTGGGTCCAGTGAATACTGTGAAATACTGCAGACATTAAGCATAATTTGCAGCCAGGCAGGGTGGTCATCGTAACTACAGCTGCTCCTGTTATTAGGAGTCAGTTTAATTCAGATACAGTATATTATGGTGGAAGTATATTTGTGATGACAGAGACATATTTTCCCTCTAACAGTATTTATACTGCTTTTATGTACAGACAAAATTATGTTACAGCTCTGTAAAAAGAGGAGGACAGGGATGGGGGGGCACATGGCCATTTCACAGAATGGAAACTTTGTTTGCTCAACTGTGGGATGTTGAGTCTTTTAATTCACACTGTCATGAATGTAAATGCTGTTAAGGAGAATTAAGGTTGTTTCAGTTTTTAAAATCTTACCGAATCCAGTGATCTTCCCAGAGTTGATACTCAGGAAAGACGGCGGGGGAAATGTTGCCCCTCTCGTGCTCCTTTCTGGCCTTCTCCATAGCTTTCTCATAGCTTTCCTGAGCCTGCACAGACACAGAGGTTATTTTTGATGTGGTTTGGATTCAAGTGTCTTCAGGCAAATCACATGATTACTGACTCAGCCTGATCAGCCGAAAGGAAACTGCTGCATTAATACGACTGCACAAAAAACAGTGCCGTAAATCCAGCTCTGCGTCTGAGCGGCAGCAAAAAAAATGACCACTGACCATCAAATGGCATTTATCTGCAGGACTTTAAGCGACATGTCTGTAAATCAGTTTTATTCTTCAATTTTCTCCCACCTGCTCAAAGAAGCCGTGCTGCTCATAGGCGATGGCGGTGGCCGTTTCGGGGAATTTGCACCTCTTCTGCCACAGACCTGCCCACATGTCCTCCTCCTGGAGCAGGGAGTAAAGCTCTGCCAGGGAGTCCAAAATCTCCTGTGGAGAAGCATAGACAACTGTCTGAATACCTGGTAAACTGACCAGAAGTTATCATCGTCTGGTCTGATCATATTTCCTAGTTGTGTATTAACATCAGGTTATTAAAACGGGAAGAGGAATTTTTTTAATCGCTAGAGAAAAAATAAAAATAAAATACCTGCTGAGGTGGTGTGATGCTCTCCTGCTCATAAAACTCTGTGCTCTGTTTGGGTTTACTGTGCAGACTCAGGCCCTTTTCAAAAGCCTGTTGCTCCAGCATTAAGGTGGAACGTAGCCAGAGGTTGTGCGTCTTTCCCAGGTACTTGAGCACGCAAGGGCGGATGGGAATAGGAGGCACGCACTGGGACATGGCCTCCACAAAGCAGTTGAGTGCACTGGGCTGACAGTCCCGCTGGGCCTGGTGGCTGCCGCTGCAGAGGAAAGGACTAATTTCTCCGGACAGAGCCTGGAGAGGAAAGAAGTGTTGGATATGATCACTTTGTTTTCAACATGTGGATTATTTGGCCAAAGAGGGAAACATTCTGTAGTTCATTTTATTCCAGTGAATCAAAACCAAAAGAACAGAGAAGGAAACCTATCAATATTCAATGGAGGCTTAGCAAGTTTAAAATAGAGTAAAAATGTGAAGTAAAAGTTTGGCAAATGACAGATAAAAATCTGGGAAACTTTGTGGGAAAAGGTTGAAAAATGTTATCTGGCCAAAAACATTTCAGCTTCAACAGAAAATAAATAACATATATTTACAATTTAAGAAGTTTGCGGATGAAGGCCCCAAAGCCGACCTTGCCTGGCCTAAAGGATAAGAGCTGCTGTCAAGTTAACTGACACCCACTCAGAAATAAATGACGTGTTGGTAATGCATCTAAATTTACTCTCTGGTGACGAAGTGGAAAACTGAAGCTGTGATGGTCACTTTAATTAGGCTGGTGATGGAAAAGACCAATAACCTGTCAGATACTGTCATTCCCATGAATGGATCAGCGCATATATACTATATATATATATATATACACACAAATGTATTTTATAAGTCACAGAACTAGTAATGACGCTATTCACATCCTAAATTAATATGATGGAAATGTTGGCGTCAGAATAAATAGTTCTGACACATCTGTCACTTCATGTCAGTGAGGAGGATGAGGTGTCATCACTCTACAGTCATCACTCTCCCGGCTGAATATTAAATATGTTAAAGAGCTCAATCACTTCAAATCAAACACTCTCCAAAAACCTTACACACATCTGGTTCATTAAACTCATTACAGTGTTCCTCTCCTCATTTATTAGGGCAGATGAATCCGTTCTCGGGGAGTGAAAACGCTGGTTTTCAGACAGAAGTGCTGCAGACAAGCTCAGAGCTTCTGTCCTTGTTGGAGTTCAGAAAATAAAACAACACAACCTTAAAAAACCTTTTCTTTTTTTTAAATTGACTATATTTGGTCTGAATCACTTTTGTCTTGTCCTTCCATCGTTGGTCACCACAGCTGCAGTGATTCAGCTGAGTCAAACTGTAAAAAGTAACACAATCTCTTCTAAAAATATGAAAGTTTTGTGAAGCATAAAAGCACAGTTGCTGTTTTCAAGCACTTTCCCTTAAAATTTAAGCCCTCTCCATGTCAGTGCTTAAATCTTCTTGAAGTTGTTCCACCTCTCATCTAAGAGGTTTGTTTTTCCCACTTCCACAGTTCCAGTGATTAAAAGATTCTTTCTAATACTGTGTTTAATGCCTTAGGAACAGAGTGAAGGAGGTGAGTGAAGGAACAGCTGCAGTCCAACCTTCTTTGTGCTAAAGACTTGAGCGGCAGTCCTTGGTCAAGCTGCCTCGTTCTCCTCTAAATAATACTGGACACTCCATGCTTCTCTCTAAGATGCTAATAAGCTAATAATGTTGGAGGGAGCCTAAATACCACCAGTGGTACACATACCACAGAATAAAGGAAAACACAGTGAACCTAAAAAAATAAAAACTAAGGTCCTCCATCTGGTGACCAGTCGTTCACACTCACATGCTGCTGTCTGTCAGAGAGGATCTTCCACAGTCGAGGGAAGAGTTGGACCCAGGTCTTCTCAGCCAGTGGTGTCGAGATGTGACAGAGCTGGACCAGAGCGTTCAGAAGAGCCCCCGTCTGAACCAGGACAGAGAGACAGAGAGACAGACAGAGAGACAGACAGACAAAGAGAGAGACGTGACATCAGCTGACTTCACAGTCTCCTGTCCTTGAGGTGCAGCTTATTTACTGTCCTGCTGAGCAGTTAAATTCTCTTTGACTTTGTTATACATGTCCCAGGTGCCTAAATTAATAGCTTGAATAAAAAGGCCAGCAGGGTTCTGCATGGAGAAGAACTCGGGGCTGGTACTGCTCAGCAGAGTTGAGGGAAAATGCATTAAAAATATCAATATTTCTAAGGCTGCATTCTCCTTAAATGCCAGTGGTTACTACTGAGTAATTGCTTTAATTTCAAAAATCCCTTCATATAACAGTTGGATACAAAATATCCTTTAGGCATTGTTTTTCCTGACTTTGTCGTTTGAATTGAACCCAAGGACGGAGTAACAAAGCCAACTTTGGTTCTCATGTTCTGAACCTTCAACCTCAATTGAGAGGTGGACAAAGTTCCCAGACGTGACAGACAAAGCAGCCAATCAGGGGCAGCGACTTTTAAAAAACATGTTGACCTGGGTTCATGAGGGTTCCAGAGGCAGTGGAACTCACCTTGACCTCCCTGAGTGAATCCAGGAACTTGTCGTGGCGGTTGGTGAGCATGTGCAGCTGGTTGCCTGTGTCCCTCTCCGCCTGCTCCTTGGTCTTAGGGATGGCCGTCTGATCGCCTGGCGCTAACTCGATGTCTATCTCCACATCCTGTCCAGAGAGAACATTTAACCAATGATCTTTGATAGAAGAACTGACAACATCTAACACAAGTCTACTGAGGTTGGTGTGACTGTTTGTATCTCCATGTGTTGCCTCCAAACTCCTGCCCCACCTCCTCCTTGGTCTCGCTGTTCTCCCTCTCACGTGGCTCCTGCTTGACATGCGTCGCCATGGCGAAGGCAGCTCTGTCATGGCTGTCGGCCAGGTTGATGACATTGGTGATGGACGGCAGCATGGATCCCTGACAGCTGGTGCCGATGATGGTGTTTCTCTCACACACTGCCAACAGAAGCTAAACAGAACGAATGTATACAAACAGACGGCAGAACAGAGGATTAGCCAGAGTGAAAAATGCATTTTGAACAGAGTGAGTTCATCTAAGAGCAGCATTGCTCTCTTCACCTCTGTGCACTGTTTAATCCAGAAGTGACTTCCCATGGCCTCCCAGTTCTGTGAGCAGCAGATGTAAAGCAGCCTCTCGTAGACGCGTCGCTTCATGGAGGCATCAAACACCTCAAAGAACTTGGCCCGGATCAGCGGCTGACTGCAGCGCAGCCCGGAGAGGAACGCAGGCTCCAGCTTGGATGTGATATCACTTCCGGAAAGGCTTTCGTCCCTGAGAAGATAAAACACGGCCGACAAAACATTTGAAAATTGGTTCCAACATCCTTCCCATTGTAGCTCCATAAAACAGAGCAGCAGAGAAGAGACATTGTGCTGGGGATTAAGAATTTAAGGCCCAAGGTTGATGCACATCCCAAAGGTGAATTAGAAAATAAAGTCAGAGGTTTAAAGGCAGCACAAAAGTGAACCAATGCTTGATTGTAAATTAAAACAAAAAACAAAAAAACGATACAGTTAAACAGTAGAATATCAATTTGGTATTATGAAACAAAATACTGCAAAAATTTAGTGACACCAGTGACAACATTTTAATCATCATAGTCTCCTATTTTTACTGTTTGAAAAAACATGTTTAGAAATTGTTGCAACATTTCTTTGTCCAAACAACTAAAATACTAAAACTTGCTGTAAAATTATCTCACTTTAAACTAAAACTAAAAACAAATGTCACAAACAACCCTAAATATTTTTAAAAAGCCACGACAAACTGAGTTCCATTCTTCATTATCACATTCCAACAAAACATTTAGAGGAATTATCCGCTCATTTGTTTGACTGTCAAAACAAAAGCTAAAAAATTTGTAAATAATCAGTAGTGACAGCTTTGTTCTTTCTGCTGTTCGACATAATCAGACAAACAAAATGCAATCTTAACCAACCTTGAAAGACTAATGGATGCCATTAATATAAATATGACAGACAGGTACAATTCTAACGGCAAAAGGGTATTTGCGTTGCAGCATTTCAGCGCAACAATGTTTAAAAAGCTCCACCGTGCTGCGCTGAGGATCAGTGGAGTGTGAGGAGACGGGAGTTAACTGTGAATATTGGCTGAAATTAAATATCTGGGATGTGGAGTCTGCAGCGATGCAGTTCAAACTCAAATACAACAGTCATCATCTGAGT